AATCATCATGTAAAAAAATGACATAAATTTAATTCCAAACATTTAAGTAGCGCTGCTACCTGGTCACGCATACTAGTCAGGATACCCTCGACTGTTGTGAAGCGGCCGCCATGAGTGCAACTGCCAGCTTCGAAATCCAGTTCAGGAATTGCCAACGAAGCCGTATCTGACTTGAGAAGGTCACGCGAAAGATCGGATATATGCGTTAGAAATAAGGAGTATCGGCGACCAAGTGATGACACTCCGCCACCCGTCTTTACCTCACTATCTCGGTAGCCACAAGCGGGACAAACAGTCGCCATTATGATAACTTCCTTAAATTGGGGGATATCTTGGATGAATAGACAAACAATATCTATGTTTATACAAAGAAACCAGACATTTCTAAAATTATAACCTAATTTGTACTTATAACAAAATAAATAGCTAGAAAACTTACTGAAATTCGTATCACTTTTTTGTGTACTGAGACATGAACTATGTGCTATTTCATCAGACTCAGTTCAGCTTTTATTCATTACGTAAATTTCGTCCAACTTTTAATGGAACATTTGCAATTACTTAGACGTTCTTAATTTGGTGTATATCAATTCTCTTTTCTTTATTCGATTTTATAATTGATAAAGGGTCTATAAGAGCCAAAGACCTGGATTTTGGCTTTGCATGAACTGACATCAATTCGATAGCAGCAACTCTGCTTTGCCTCTCTTCCATGATAAAGCACTCCTTTCCGTGCTTGGTCCTGCCTGATAACAAGCATTAACTAAGCTTCACTTCATGACTTATTCTTATGCAACTATTGTTCATAAGTGACTTAATACTCCCGCCTTAATAAGATCAGTTCTTCAATTCTCATAATCGACTATATGAGATAACGAAAACGAATCTTAGTCTTCGTATCAATCTCATAGATAGCATTGCAAGCTACAACATCTATTCACCGAAGATAATCGAAAAGAGCCTGCTAATGATGTTTAACGTAATATGAGAACAAATATTATGATTATTAAGAAATTTGGGTAAAGACAGTAAAAAAATATGAAATATTAGAGTAAAAAATATTTCCTTCAAAATTAAATCCTTATAATTAATGGTAATAACTGGAGTAGCTTCCCGAAAAAACAAGGAAAATGCCATCGAGATCTACCTGAAAAAGTTCGCTACAAAACACATGGAAATTTGTCATAACCAAAACGAGTTATTTAAAAACCTAGTGAACAGATTTAGAGAATATAAGTAGACTTTGAATATGAAGTTAAGGCGATGTAGTCGAAGCTTCCCACACCAAAATAAGACTTCGTGATGCAATTCAATTTCGCATAACTTTGTCTCCTAGAAGGCTTTCTCATCTAAGGTGGATTATCATTTCGGCCTTGTTTGGGCTTCATTAGCAAAAAAAAGGGATTCGAAATAGGAATCGGACATCAAATGTCAACATGTCACCAGTCTGATATAGCAAAGGGTACTAATGTTTCACAGGAAAGGCGTGCTACAATTCCTATTTAAGGTAAATTCATTTTCATAGTGAGGCCAACTCAGTCAATTATGGGAAAATACATTTGCCAATCTTACATAATT